TGCGATCACAAACTCACGAGTTATTCAATGGCCAGAAACGGTGTTTCGATGATCTGATGACTCACAACGAGGACATCATTACCGACGGCCAGCGGATGAAGAATTTCGCCGCCATTTGCGACCGATTCCGAGCGTGTCTTCTGGTCTTTGATTACGAGCGTCTGTTGGATCTGTTTTGTCGGCTTTGCATCAACTCGTTCTCTATACTGAACGAAGAGCTCAATGATATCGGTTCCGGTATATACGTGACCGGTTCGGTGTTCAACCACTCGTGCTCTCCCAACGCCGCCATTGTCTTCGATGGCATTGAATTGGAGGCCAGAGCTCTGAAGCCCATCCCCGCCGGCGAAGAGGTAGTTATCAATTACGTGGACGTGAAAGCGACCGGAACTGATCGGCGACTCAAACTTCGCGATCAATACTATTTCGACTGTCAGTGCAGTAAATGTGTCACCAATTCAGACAATGATATCAATTACTCTTTGGTGAAGAGTTTGAACGACGAATTTGACGCTTTGATCGACAGTCAAGACAATTGGCGTAAATGTTATTCAATTGGTTCGCAATCGATACCACTTTATAAGCAAATCTACGGCGACTTTCACCCCGATATTACTGTCCAATTGATGCGAGTGTTAAAAGTGTTGCTCTTAATAGTCGATGATTTGCGGGACACAAAGGTATTGGAAATGATTGAAACGACTCGCGATTCACTTGAAATAACCCATGGATTTCATCACAGATTGTGTGATGTATTGAAAGATGCGGTCTCTCTTTGAACACAAGTTTTATGTAATAATTGTTTTATAAATGTATTTATTGAATAAAAATTAAACATGTTTTAAATATTTGTGTTATAATTATCTTATATTAATTCATACAAATCGACCGCTTGTTATACTGTATAACTTTATATTTTTGGATTCTTGTCTTATCCGATGCGTGTCTTCATCAGTCACGTCGAGCAAAGCGTTGTCTTCACTCATGTATTTAATTGATCTCAATCTCGGATTATTATTGATTATATGATTGACAGTCACGTCGGGTACGTATGTGACCACTAAACCCCGTTTAGCTGTCAGACTAATGGCTTCGAGTTTGCTGTGTTTGGCCAACCATTGGAAAGCCTCTTCCGATATCACTGTATTTTTCAATTCAATTTGTTGTAATCTTTTTAGACTCGTATCGCTGTTCACAAAGAATTCGTCGGTTATATGACTAACGTTAAGGCAAAGGCGCTCTAATTGCTTGCATGCGGCCAACGATTGGGACGAGTAGTTGTAGTGATCGCTCTCCAACTCATTCACCAAATGAAGACTCAAACGCTTCAATCGGTAGAAGTATTTGATCGAAAAAAACACATTTCTATTAACGCCAGAATTGGTGTACAATTTGATGCAAATCTCTCGGATCTGTTGGCAATTAACCGACAATTGGCGCAAATATAAATGAAACGGACAATTGAAAGACAATTCCATCCACTCTTTGCGGAAGTTGTCGAACCGAAAACTCTTTAAACCCTTAACTCGTTTTAATCTCTCAAACAAAGAGTACATTTGCGGGGTTTGATAATTATGTGAATAGAAATGAATGTACGATAAGGTTTGCCAATTGGCATCGATGATGGCCTCTATGGTCTCCCTCTGGTCTGCGATGAGCCAAAGTGCCAATTTGGTCAGATGTGTGGCCTCACTCTCCTGACCTCTCAGCCATTTGGGCGAACTAACCGTCAGTTCGTTAATATTAGGCATATATTTTATGAGATGTCGATTGTAAGGATGGGGTGCAAAGCGGAACTCATCGTAAAGACCAAGTTTTCGGATCTCTTCACCGAATCGGTGCAGAAATTGTGCGATCTTTTTATCGGTCAGTCCATCGAAAGAGCATTTAATGGCATCTAAATTGTGACAATGATTAAAGACCGCCGAAATGAGGCCATCGTTTTGTAAGGGATTGTATGACTCGTCAATTATATAGATTTCACTGATATTTCGGCACTTTTTCAGAACTGATTCCAGCGCTTCCTGAGAGGTAAAGGCCAGGCATTCGTTGTTTCTTATGCTCTGTTCAGTGCTTTTCGAAACACTTTTTGCGTTTTTGAACAAATTATGCCAAGTTTTTTGGTTTTAATATTAATTTTTTAATAAATGATAATTACTTACTCTTCATAGTTGTTGTTCGGTCCGAGAAATAGTATGTATTGTTTGGTATAAATGGTTCGTTGAAATTGTTTGGAGACCGACTCTAAGCGGAGTTTGTCCTTAAATGGTAAATATTTAAGTAATTCTTGCGATAATCCATCACTAATACGATCAGTGAATGAATCTTTCATTTTTAGCACATCTTTGGTTTAATTTTTTGGCCAAATAATGAAAATGTGCTTTTAGTTATGTATTGTATAAAATATTCAACTTTTCATTTTGTTCAATAATTGATTAGTATTTGTAAAATTATTTCTCGACTTTAGTTTAATTCAAAAATAAACTCTAATTTTTACTATAAGGTGTTCACAGTATTTATTATATGGTGAATCTGATTATTCCAGGTTAATATTGTGGAAAATTTTACTGTGCCCTTGTTTGTGTATGAAATAATCTAGATGTAAATTATTGTTATTTATTTAAAATTGCTATTGACAATACTGTATATCATATTATTTTGTGTATAATTTTATATCCTTTAAAATACAGTATAATTTAAGGATTGTTTATATTTTTAATTATGATTTTAATATTTAATAATTATTTAAATTGTATTATGTTAATAAAGTTATAAGTTATTGATTATATAATATACTTAAGTTAGAAAATTACACATTATAGTTAACTACATTCTGACTCTCAATCACGTATTTGAATAAATTGCATAAAGTATTGTATGAATTGTTTACTTATGATAAATCAAAATACGATTGAACTGTAAGCTCAACATTTTAAAACCGTCTGTAAAACCGGACATTCAATACATTATTTTAATATTAAATATTCCCTAAATTCATATCAAAAAAGTAATTGTTTGACTGCACTAACAGAAAGTAATTATAATTAACGGTTGATTAACATAGTTAATTGTTTCGTTTTAATATAAATTATATAAATATACAAAATTTTGTAATATTTTATTTTTAAAATTTATAATTTTAATCGTTTTTATTACAATTAATAATGTGGTCAATTAATATAGCACACATAATCCTTTAGTAGACTTTTGTTTATTAATATTGTTATAATTTTCAAATTATATATTAAATATTAATTAAAGTTTTACATCTATTGTACATTTATATTTCACATGCTCTTGTTAACAATAATGTTAAGATATCTGTATATTAAATCATATTGAAAATTAATTGTGGCATTAGGCCACTTTATTTCCATTGGAACCAATTACATTACCAAAAAATAATATGACAATGGTCAAATATAAGGAGATGAAAATTATAATAATTAATCTTTAAGTAATTCATTGGTGTTATCGTCCTTAACCTCATAGCGAACATAAGGGGTTCTCTTATCCCTATTAAGTCTGCTTTTAATGTGGAAATAATAATATGCTATAAAAGCGGCGATAATTATAACAAAGAATACAGTAATTGCGAATAAAATATAGACATTAATCCAAACATTGGTTACATGAAAGGGATAACGCCTTTCAATGAATTCCCACTTATACTCCATATTATTTGCAGCACCCGTACAGGTAATTGAACCAGATTCCTCTCCATTTGCACTCTTACCTTCATCTAAAAAACAATACAAAATATATGGATATATTAAAATTAATATGGATGTTAACCAAGATGACAGAACTTGTAACTATAATATCATAATATAGTAAGAATTATTCAAAACACTAGAAATTTCTTTTTTACCAAAACTAGATTATAATAACTAATTGTATTTGAAATAATAAATTAAATTTTTAAACTTTAATAGTTAAACTTATATTATTATATCTACAGTAGAGATATAACAGCAATACTCACTGCAGTCCTTATTATAGATTTCATATTTATCGTTTACTTTGGAAATCTTGACGGTATGTTCGCTAATGTGATGAACCATTCTGTACCAATTATCATTGAGCTTGGTAAATGTATGGAAAAGTCTGGAATCATTATGGTCAAGCATTGAAGTAAGTGTGGCATATTGATTGTTCCAGGTCAAGTAGTTTCCACTTTTACCATTTCTAATAGCATAATACGTATCCGTCTTTATTGGCAAATATTGATTATTATTCCTGTCAACTATAGATTCGCTATAAACTGCGGCGACCACTACTATCATCATCATTATCATGGTCATTGACAAACATATTATCGTTGCAAGTTTAGAAATTGACATGTTTAATTTAAACTGATAAATCAAAAGATATTTTTTATTTCATTGAATTAGACATAAACTACTGTAGTAATAAATTATTACTAATAATGATATTTTGTAAAAATATGTTGTGTATAACTTTATATTTGTTGTTACAATTGTTACAATAACTCAGAGTTTGTTTATATTTTCAATTATATAAAGTGTTATATTTGAGTGTTAAACATTTTAAGTGTTACATAATTATGTTAATACGTAGATATTATGTATGTAGTATAAATTCTATATATTTGAATATACTTAATCTAAAAATTGGTATATTATAATTAATTCTGACACTCGATCATGTATTTAAATAAATTTTATAAAATTATTGTTAAGATTGTTTACTTATGGCAAATGCATACAATATATTATTGATCAGACCTTGTGATGTCTGAACGTTCGTTACATACATAGAAAATACTTTAAATATTAAACTTTATCTGAAATCAAAGCTAAAATTTGTATTCATAATAAATTAATCAAAAGTACATTAAGTTAGTTCTTGTGTTTCATAATTGTTTGCCAAACACATTATTATGTTATCAACAGCTAATTTGTTAGATAATAACTTTATATTACACAATAACTACCAAGTTGTACCTGCATTGTTGTAATTTACTTATAATGTAATCTCACACCTATTCTTGAATTAATGATTCAATTACTTATTTAAGAGCACTATATTAACACTGTTCTTAATACCAGAATTCATTGCGGGTATACAGAAGTAAACGGAAATTTACTTAACATATCACTCAATCTTTCAATAATGATAATAAGTATAATAACAAACAATTGTTTATAAATAATATTTTTGTAAATATTTCGGAAACACTCAATAATATTTCTTATTTATTTATTTGTATTCAAAGTATTGCACTCTATATCACAAAGTAATCTATTTTTGTTAAATTTACTATAAATAGCATGTTATTCATTATTTATTAACACTAATACAACATAGTATGATATTTGACCAGGATCTTTGGATTTAAGGTTTTAGTATTCTGTACAATACGATAACAATATTATATTATAATGTTATTACACTTTATGATCTAATTGTACTCATTAATGCTTTTATTTCATTATGACTTACATTGAAAAGTATAGGAAAATATTTATAACTTTATAATAAATATTATTTCAAGTCTTCTTTAAGAAAACAGTAGTTTAAAAGATAATTACTTTTTTAGCATAAGTATTGCGCGTTTATTCACATTTTCTAATCATAGAGAATAATTTTTTTTTAAAAGTATTGTTTGATTTGCCAAAGTGTTAAAGTCTATAAAGTGTTGAATAAATATAAATATCAAAATTAATTAATCGATATTTAAACTACTTAAATGTGAATTTAATGTCAAAATCAACTGACACTATCTGTTAGTTTTTATTGTTATGAAATATATCACACTCTTTGACGGCTACTCGAAAGGTGTGAAAAAATCTTACGATAAACAGCAATGAATTACTGTATAAATAGTACTTATAATACAATTCTTTGGCAACAAATATTTTTTGCTGCCTTTAAATAAACTTTGCATTTAATTTGATATAACAATCATATCATTAAACAAATAATGAGACGCGGATTACACTGTTTTCAAGATTACAATTGGTTAAAGAAATGGCATTTTTGTTATACTTCTGTAAAAATTTAAAAAAATCTCATCAATATAATTGTCAAACAAATGGCTTTAGATTTTAAAAATAATTTTCAAATTTCTATATCTTATTTAAACATTTGATTAGTATTTCTTGAGAGAAAGACATATTTCTTAATAATTGTGCAAATAATCAATAATTGAAATGAAGTGTGAATTTTTGACACCAACGGAATGCCAAAGTTATCAAACGATTAGTTAATACGGTATCCATTGAGTCGTGCGATAATTGTCAACCAATTTTCCTAAAGTCATCCAATCATTAGTAATACAAACAATGAAAAATATTATACAATAT